TTGATTCCAGCCTTGCAGACGTCATCTGTCGGCCCAATTCTGGTTTTGATCAACTGTAAGATTAGTGGCGGCGTCTGTGGGAATACTATCTTCCCCATATTTCTTTCCTTGAAACTAAATATCAAAGCGACATTCAAAGATTCCTATCATGTCCGATCACGATGGCAACCACCTTTATGGAAAAACAATGCTCTTTCCTGTCCTCAAGACGAACGAAAACGAAGAACTGCCTCTCCTTGAAGATATCCTCAAGAAGAGAGACGACAATACTACGTTTCCCTCCTCGATCGAGGCCGATGACAATGAAGTCCAATTCTTGGAGAATCAGAAGTCCAAGAAAATCTCAAAAGAGTTGCCCGCAATTCTTTAACCAGTTCCAACACCGACCAACACCGACTCGGCCATGGAGGCTCTGTTCAATGCGCTTAATCAGACCAACACTCTGATCCTTCAACAAAGTAACATGATTGGAGCTTAGGAAAAGAAATTCCATTCAATATTTCCTCCTCTAAGATACCGACGATATGACTCCCTCAGTCCAGCCCCATCAAGGTGTGGTTACCGTCCCGCGAGCAAAAACCAGAAGTTTTATTTCTCAAGAAACATGACTGTACTCCTCCTCGGAAGGATCGATGTTCCCCGTCCACCAAGAAGACGAAGGGTAGTCAACAATCAGACAACAATTGTTCTCCATCACCCAAGCCAAAGCACCAACTGAGGAGAATATCCCCCCGTTGGGACAACAACCCCCGACGAGGAAGAAATAATTATTCTCCACCCCAATCACCAGATCGGAGTGATGACGATGAGCCCCGCAGTCTGCTGCCACGAGAAATTATGAAGACTCCACTTCCCATCGGGCTAGAGAAACCCGCAAACCTGGGGGCATACGATGGGATTACAAATCCAGACGAGCACATCGAGAACATCGATGTCCTGCTCGACTATAGAGGTGTCTGAGGAGAAATCAAGTTCCAACTCTTTTACACCACTCTTTGGAAGGGGGCCATGGCTTGGTACAAAAGCCTCCCCGACGAGTCAATCACATCTTGGAAGAACTTGGGGAAACAATTCTCCAGGAACTTTACGACATCCTGTTGTCACCCTAAATCGAAAGCATCATTGGAGACCATCATCCAGGGGAAGGGCGAATCCCTCCGAGCATATATAGAGAGGTTCAACAAAGAGGCCGTCCAAGTCTCCATGACTAACTGGATGAGGAAGTACCTCCTCGAGCAAGGATTACACCCTCTCAGCGACTTTTCCAAGGCAGTTGACATAGAAACCCCTGCAACACTGGATGCCCTCCTTCTCAAGGATCAGGCGTGCATCCAGTATGAAGAAAAAGAAGTTGCCAACAACGTGCGATACTCGCGGCATCGAGAGAAAGAGTTTCAAAAAATGACGAGCCCTCGACATCCTGTCGGGGAGCAGAAAAGAAAAGGGAGGATAAACCCCACGAGTCGCGAGACTACAAAGGGTCAGTTGGTCATTTTTATGACTACAAACCCCTAAATGCTTCACGCGAGCACATCCTAACCGACTGCACAAACTCTGAGTTCCGTCAAGTCGGGGTCCATTTTCCTCGACAGACACCGCCCAAGCCAGGGACGAACAAACCCAAATACTTCCGGTTAAGAGCCATAACCATCCCAATAAAGATTGCATCTACCTGAAGGACTACATTGAGATCTTCATCATAAATGGTCATCTCAAGCAATACAAAAATAAATATGGTTCTTGCGAGGATGCACCCGAGTCCAGGAAAGTCGAGGAAGAGAAACCAGCGTCCGATCACATTTCCATGCCAGTAGCCATGTGCATCTCACGACCAGAGGATTTCTACATCCCCGATGAAGCCGAGCACCCCCTGTATATCACAACGCACACCCCCTAGGAAACTTTCCCCTCCGATATGGTTATCTCAGGTGGAGGATTCAACAAATTCATCATGGTCTCAATAAAAAGAAAATTCGAGCAGCTAATTAACGCAAGCTCTAACATGAATTCCACCCTCGATAAGTTTCGAGGAAATTCTGACCCCATCACATTCTACCGGGAGGACCAGAAGGTCTCCTAACTCAACCACCCCTCTGCTCATAAGAGCACAACTGGCATATTTTAACCCCCGAAGGATACTGGTCGACCATGGTAGCTCAATCGACATCATATACACTCAGTTGTTCACGACCTTGCTGCTCGACGAGACACATCTGACACCTTATGTTGGCTCAGATCTACAAGATTTCAATGGCGCAGTCACCAAGCCATGGGGCTACGTCGAGCTCATTGTCACCTTTGGAGCGGCGGAGACTGCTAGGTCTATCAAAGTACAGTTCCTGGTAGTCGATTACCCGTCTCTCTACCAGTGTATCTTCGGCATACCCACTTTCGAAGCTCGTTCGTTTCCTTAGCTTTTACCTTATGCTTTAGGATATTCCCTTCATCTCCTCCCATCTTCTTTAATTTCAAAAATCTTCTCCATCATTTTCAAAACTTTTCTTGTTTTCTAACTTGAACCGCTTTCATAATAAACTTGGACTTAGGTCCACGCATTTTCAAAATATTTTTTCTTAATCAAACTTTAATCAATTTAATCATACTTTGACATCTTCTTTTGAAAGATTAAAAATCATTAACCTCATTCAAACCATTTTTCCACTTTGGTTTTTTATTTTAAAACTCTTTTCTCAAAAGATTAGACTCTTGTCAATTCTTGTAGTGATGCGAGCTACTATACTTCTAAGATATGTAGTGAAGTGAGATATTTTCCACTTGGGTGTTGAGTGAGGCTTTGTTGATTTTAAAATCCAAGCTATATCCTCCACTTTGAGATGATTCAAATTCTCCTTTCTCATAATCGTGGGTAGTAAGTATTTTTTTCACTCGGATATGACGATGCTGCCTTTTCTCTTAAAATTAACCAACAACACACGTGTTTTAAAGTTTTTTAGGTGAACTACGAGTACTCTGATCTCCTATTTCACAGAAGGTGGTACGTAGGCACTAAAGATTCTCAACTGCGGCAGGTGCAAAAATTGTAAAAATACTTCTTTTCTCATCTCCATCATCTTATTTAGTATACACCTTTTATATTCAAAATACACAGATTTTCAAAGAGGTTCCTGCGGAGTACCGTAGATGTTTAGGGTACTAATATCCCCCATTTGCATAACCAACCCCCCGTACCTAGATTCTTCCCCCTTTTTTTTTTGGTTTATTCGCTCTTTTTCCATTTCCTTTGGAAACAATAAAGCGCAGTGACGATTTTTATTTGATCTGTACGAGTCAAGTCAATCCAATGGCTTAGTCTCAACATTTCTACCGCTACAGAAAACTGGCAACTTCACTGGGGACTTAAAATCTCTAAGTGGGTTAGACCTATCTTTGTTTATTTGTGTATGTGATATTATTTGTTGTATATTATTTATTGTATATATGTATGTCTGGATCTTTCTGGTTTTCAGGATGCTTGGTGATCTCTTATAAGTCCTATACCCGGACTTGGGCAAACTTAAGATAGAGGGAGGTATAATCATGTTAACTTTGAGGGAGAAATCCCAAAAAAGGAGACAAGAGATCCCCCACTCAGTGAAGGTCAATCGGTTTAACTTTAATGTTGTAAGTTCTGTTTAACAATTTACAAGAGGTGTAACCAGTTGACATAAAAGTGCAACTGGTTGCGTGCACGTGAATTATCTTTTTCTCTTAACAAGAATTGAGAAATTTGGGCAGAGAGGATGTTGGGTGATTTAATTGTTTATTCATAACACAAAATCTCTGTAATTTAGAAAATTTAAAAATTATATTGAAAGAGAATTATAAAGTGTTGTAGAAGACTTATATAAATTTGTCAACTATAGTTAACCACTGCAACATACTGCTTAACATTATATCTTTTTCTGTGACAAGCTCGTGGAATATTACAATCCTCTTTTAAGGTTAGAGAAGACAAATATGTTGGAGAAAAATATTTTTAAGAATGAACTATGCACTCGTATAATTTTATTGGGTCATAAGGTCGAATAATCTAAGAAGAAGAACGAAATCCAAACACACTGGACAAGAGAACCTAGTCGCCCAACTTAGTACCTAGTCGCCTAATTGGGTACCTCCTAGCCCAATTGGATACCTACTCGCCCGACATGGGAACCCAACCGTCCAATTGGGTATTTGCTAGCCGATCTGGGTTTGGATTGTCAGAATTAGCTCTATTCACACAATGAACATGAGAAATAACGCGTCTCATATACCAATAGACTTGGGATCGGTCAAAAGGGAGAAATTTCTCTCTCCATAATTTTAGGGGACTAAGTTCTTTAATGACCAAGTTCCTCGATCACGAAACTAGAGCAAACTATTTTTCTGACTCTCAAATCCAAGCACAAGGAGTCTCTATAAATACCTCATTCCTAGAATGAGAGGAGGATCTCCAATTTGCAAGAAAAAGACACATACATAATTTTTGACCACATTGGATGAGCAAGTTCTACATTTTTTCCAAATACCCTAAACATCACAAACAACACTACAAACACATGGTTATTTCATTATCATCGGCGGCAATATTACTATAGGTGGCAATGGCAAAAATGTTGACCGTGAATTACCATGAAAATTTGATAATTACAAACATATAATTTTATGTTTTATAAATCTCAATTATGTTTTACATCTATTTATTTTTAGAGTTAAAAAATAATACACTGATATTATAAATAATTATACACTGTCATCCAATAAAAATTTATCAATTAATAATGTCATATAATTTATTTAAAAATAACAGGATTAAATTGATTTACAGTAATAAAATAGAGATGGAATATTTGATTTGAGATTGTGGGATAGTTGATCGGAGAGAAGACAATAGTTAATTTAAGACTATGATTGATTTAATAATATTAAAAAAAAAAATTCCCTTAAGTCAAAAAGTTGTTGAAGTGATATAAGAAGAGGTCGGGTGTGCTACCAAAACTCAAAAGGAGTAGAAAGTGAAAATGGAGTTAGAATCAGTAAAGAAATTCTTAGAAAAAGGAGGAGAAACAGCGTCTATGGTGAAGGGATTTCCTCCCAAATTCTTAGAACCCCTAATCATGAGTTCCCTTCGCGTCGATCTCATCGAGCCTGGCCGCGTCATCTGCTCTATGATCATACCTCCCCGTTTACTCGTACTTTCCTCTCTCAAACCACTCATCTTTCTTATCTCAATTTTTCAATTCAATTAATAACCTCTCATTTTCATTGTAGAATTCCGGAAATTCCTTACACGGCGGCGCCACCGCTGCGCTGGTTGACGTTGTTGGCTCCGCCGCGATTCCAGCCTCTGGATATTTAGGTCTCACGGGAGTTTCTGTTGAGATCAATGTTACTTACTTGGATGCTGCCTATGCTGATGTATGTGTCTCTCTTTTCCTTCCTTTTTTTTTGTGTGTGTGTGTTTAATGCGAGATCTGAATTCAATGCGTTTGGAATTTTAGGAGGAGATTGAGATTGAAGCGAAGGCGTTGCGTGTAGGGAAAACCCTTGCTGTTATTAGTGTGGAATTTAGGAAGAAGAAAACTGGCAAGGTTTTTGCTCAGGGACGTCATACCAAATATCTTCCTGTTGCAAGTAAATTGTGAAAGACAACAATTGTAACCAAATTTGTACTTTCAAATCCAAATCTGCCTCACTCCCCAAGCACAATTGTATAACCTGCTTGAATGCAGGTTCTTTTTATTGCAGCAAATCTAAATATGTGTCATTTCCCATTCCCAAGCACAATTGTTTAGCCTTGTTAGGGCTATAAAACGCTTTCGGAGAGTTTGTTAGTCATTTAAGCCTCATAAAAATATAGGGATTAATTTTTGCAAATGCACGGAGATGATATTCGGTTTTAAGAAAACAATGAAGCCTCTCGTTATTGTTAAATAAAGGCGGAGATTTCCTCTTCAAAGTTTTTTGAGTTTTTTTTACACATCTTTTTAAAGTTGATCTCTACACAACATTTCTTAGACCTTGCTCTAATGGATTTGTTTAAATATTTATTTAACTTTTTATCTCCAAGTATCACAATGGTGTGAGTTTGGCTTCTCATTTTTGGGTCTGCATACAAAGACAAAATTTGGATTGAAAGATACCATAGTTTATTCCTCGTCCAAAAAATTTATCACCAATTAGTTATTTCAGGTACAATAATTTAATTGGATTCATTGCCTATGATTCCGAGAGCATTTCTGAAATTGAGTCGGCTTGTCATGGTTCGTCTTCCCATCCCGCCATTGCCTTTTCTCATCATAGCAGCAAATTCTCCATAATCTATTTGTCCATCCTGCAGTACAATTTTTCATCAAACTCAATGAACGAGTTGGTAACTGATGGACTTGCGATGAAAATGTCGGTGTATAATCTTGAAAGACGAGTTTGCAGAAACATATGACATATACAAGCAAGCTCTTAATAGCAAGACAAAAGAAATGCTTACGTTGTCTTGATCAATTTCCTTGACCATTTCGTCAATATGGATATCATCCAAACCGAACTCCTTACAAGCTACTTGAATCTCGTCAATGGTTATGTAACCACTTCCATCTTTGTCAAAGTAGGAGAATGCAGACAAGAGATTTTCCTCTCTCTCCAGCTTGTTTAAGTGGACAGTAGCAGCAATGAATTCACCATAGTCGAGCGTGCCATTATTATCAATATCTGCCTGTAACATGGTCTGATTGTTAAGTTCAGAATTAGGGAAAAACATAACAAATTGCGAATTGGATTGAAACCTAAAACAATAACTAATGATTTATCTTACTGCGTCCATAAGATCCTTGATTTCAGATTCCATAAGTTCAGATCCTACTCGCTTTAAGCCTTCTTTTAGCTCGTCTAATGTTATGGTTCCACTGCTGTCAGCATCAAGCATCTTGAACAACTCTTTCAAACCACCAATTTCTTCCTCAGACAGCCTCTCCGCAATAACCTAAGAATAAGTATACAAAACAGGAAACACCATATCAGGAGTTCACATACAGATAGATGACTTAAATGAATCCCTTTTAACTTCTCAGTCAAGACAATGCGGCCCTGATAGAGAGATCCAAACACAAGCAATGAACGATAAGGCTAAGCTTAAAAACTTGAAAAATTCCAGTATTTACAAACTAAGATATCATTATAAAAGCTAAAATTGGCACTCTTATTCATGAAGGTCATCAAATTGATCATGTCAAGAAAAGCAGAACATAATGTGGGTTTTCTTGTTGTTTTAATGCCTGAGGTTTCGCCTTGATGATATAAGGGTGGTTGAGACTCCAGCGACAATTTATCTTCAATCGTGTGTTTTTTCCTTTCAAAAATACAACATATTCATTCAAAGTCTAATCATATTTATTATAAATACTTCTTCAAACTTTGCAATGTTCCTATGAACATAATATTTAAAAACTGTGCAGAGAAAATCATGAAGTTGAAGTAACCATAGTTCATACATGAAAAACATAAACACAGTAACTCTACAGCCATGTCAGACAAACTTCTTATCTTGCTCATATAACCGCAAAAAGTTAACGGAAGCCTTACACGTAAAGCCATCTTTTTAAGTTTATTCATTGCAGAGAACTGCTTCAAGCGAGATAAAACAGCAGAATCAAGAGGTTTGTCTGGTGCAATGCTATCATCAACAATCCATGGATGACCTGCCACAGAAAACCACTTAAGTTCATATATTTGAACTACATTCCAATAATTGTTCAAGTATTCATACAAAATATTACACTTGCTCTATATGAAATTTTAGACTTACATAGCACTTGGTGAGCTGTAAACCTAGTTTTCGGATTCCTATCAAGCATTTTTCGAATTAGATCCTTGGCGCTGTCTGAAATCCCAGGCCATGGCTCAGACTGGAAATCAAGTCGTCCCTGCAAAATCTGTTTGAAGATCCCTATTTCTGTCTCTGTAGGTGGTAACAATGAGGAATGGTGAAGATTAAGAAAACCAAAACATACCCGCAGATGATAACTTAATGAATAAGCGAAGAATATATACCAGCCCAAAATGGCGGCACCCCGCTTAATAAAATGTACAAAATAACCCCGGCACTCCACACATCAGCCTCGGGTCCATAATGCTTGTGCAAAACCTCTGGTGCAACATAGTATGGGCTTCCAACAACATCACTAAAGATTTCACCTGAAAAACACATCAGTTTGTTAAACATACACATCACTTTGATATTAGTATTTCCCTAGATCCCATTTATTTCCTAAACAATGTTATAATCAATTGAAAAATAGCATTCTCCTAGTGCTATAAAATGAAGCAACACAACCCAAAAGCAACAGGTTGAAATCAAAACAATGGCACAGATGCAAAAACATCATCAAATCACTCACAATTTCATGAATCAAACCAAATCTGATCAAAATAGAAATCAAAAGCAAGAAAAAAACCTGGCTTGTAAAAAGCAGAGAGCCCAAAATCAGTAGTTTTAAGAACAGCATCTTCCTCAACAGTATCAAACAAAAAATTCTCCGGCTTAAGGTCCCTATGCATAACACCAAGAGAATGACAATTTTCCACAACCTCGACAATAGTCCTAATCAGCTTAGCAGCTTCCCTCTCACTATAATGCCCCTTGTTCACAATCCTATCAAACAACTCACCACCTTCACAAAGCTCCATAACCAAATGAACAGAAACCGAATCCTCATAAGTCCCATGGATCCTGACAACATTAGGATGCTCAGATAAATGGTGCATTATCTGAATCTCTCTCCACACATCATCGTAATCCTCTTTGCATAAAAGTTTCTTCTTTGGGATTGATTTGCAAGCGTAGGTTTTACCGGTTGGGTTGTGTGTGCAGAGATAGGTGGTGCCGAATTGGCCTTGACCCAGTTTTCTACCTAAGGTGTAGAGTTCACGGAGATTTTCTGTTATGTATGGGAGGACCCAGGTGGGTTTCGGGGGTGGCGGGTTGTTGGAATTCGACATTGTTGTGAAGGTTGTACTGTGTTGGGTTTGGAACAACGAAAGAGAAAGAAAGAAGACAAGAGTCAGAGTCAGTGTTTGTTTGTGACTTCACATTCTTCTACTATTCATATGCTTCGCACACAAGTTTTAATTATTATTACTATTATTATTATAATCAGAAAATTCAGATATAATTCTTTAGAGATTATAATTTCATATTTTTCAATGAAAATATATAATTTCTTTCTATTTTTATTTTTTATATTTAAATATATTTAATATATTTTTATTAAAAATAATATAAAAAAATCACATATAAGAAATTATATATAAGTTTTTTTAAAATAATAATTGCAAAAGTTAAATCAAACTCCATGATCTTCGCGTGTTACTGTTTTTTTAAAAAAACTTATACCACTTTGTTAAAGAAATGGAAACGGGATTAGAGGGGTCATTAATAAAATGTTATAAAATCATTAAAGTTATGCTGTTACTTCTATTTACTCAAAAGAAAAAATTGTTGTTATTTATGTAGTCATATATTTTTATTCAATTACTTACTAATATAAATATTTATATATATATATATATATATATATATATATATATATATATATATATATATATATATATATATATATATATATATATATATATATATATATATATATATATATATATATATATTACGTGTATTTGTTCTTAAAATATAATAAAAATAAAAATAAAAAATTAAATTGTTCAACCAAACTAAATTTGTTATTTTTAAAATAGATAATAAATTGATGTATATAATTTTGTTTATATATAAAAATATTTAAATTAAATATGTATATTTTTTGTATATAACTATTATTCTTGTATATAATTATTATATTTATTTTGCCAATATTAATCGGTAACCGTTATAATTATTTTAATTTTGTGTGTTAAAAAATAATAAATTATGATTTGAATCAATAATTTTTCTTTTATCTATAAAAATTATAAAAATTATTTTTATTTTAATATTATTTATAAAAGTATATGTGCCAATAGTAAATTTAATCTCATTTATAAAATAATATTGTTTAAAAATATATGACGATAATAATAATATCAATAATAATAATAATCATCTTAAATTAACAAATATTAATAAATACTAATTGGTAATGAAATATTTGAATATCTAAATATAATTGGACGATGTCAGTCCGTTCCTTAATTTAGAGTTTAGGATAGATATGAATATATATTATGATGCAATTAAGAATTTTTAAATCTCACAATTTTATATCAATTATTTTGAATTTACAGTAAAAAAATATATCCTCATAATTATCATATTTAAAAATGAAAATATTCTAAAATCGTTATATTTATTATCAGTTAATTTGATTATTTTGGTGTGGAAAGATATTTAGGTATGATATATGCATTCAAATTTCAAACTTATGAATAAAGAATATAATTGTAGTTGAAAAAACATTCTGGTACTCGAGTTTATATCTGTTTGGATATCAATATTAGTCGTGCATATTATCTGTATTTTTAATAAAATTTAATATAAATAAATTATATAAATAAATATATATAAATAAATATATTATGTGGGTATGAGACGGATGAGCACTAAAGTGTTCATTCCTACTTATTTAAACGGGTAATTATTTGAACCCGTACTCATATA